GTCAAAGGCACAAAGAGAGAATGGCATGGTGGGGGAAAAAGTAGGCTATACTTGTGAAATAGAATTTGTAAACAGAGAATAAATTTATAAAAAAGGAAATAAAGAAAATAGATGTAATGAGGGAAGTTAAGAGAGACAGAAACAGACAGACAGACATATAAAGAGACGGAGACGTAAATAGAGAGATAGAGAGAGAGAGAGAGAGAGAGAGCACTAAGAAACGCAATGTCCTTTTTTTCTCAAGAGACGACTATATCAGCGAATCTAAGCAACGAATCACACGAAAGATATATCCTCAGATAAATTGGACACCACAATCAGGTTCCTCCCAGGCGAATTGATATTAGATTCTTGATAAGAAATAAATTGAAATTGAAGAAATATTGCTTGTCTGCATTACAATACCATTGCAATAACGTCTCCCGTTCGGTGGAACTCCTTCTTTTGCATCCCCCGTATGTGAATAGTATTTTGTCACCATCTTTCGTTCTCCTCCAAATCACGTTACGACATTTGTATTTCTTTGCAAGAGACGACGACTCGAATTCAAGGTTTACCGTCTCCATTGTGCGTCCGTGTAATTTAATTTATTTTTATGTCGCTTAATTATTATGTTCTTCTTAATTAATTCTACTCTTAGAGATTCAATGCATTGTGAACATTTAAACATATTATGGGCTTGAATGATAATGATAATAATAATACTAAACATAATAATAATAACAATAATGATGATGATGATGATGATGATGATGATGATGATGATGATAAGGAGAAGAAAAAGAAGAAGTAGAAAGAGAGGAAGAGCATTAAAGTATTAAGCGCCAGCACCACAACACTCATGTGTTAAAGTCACATAACGATCGAAGGACATACGCATGCTGAAAATACACAAACATTTGCTAATAAAACAATCCACTATAAAGCAAGTTTGAACAGATGAGTTATGAGTGTATTTTAAAATAAATATTGGTCAGAATATATAAGGATAAAAACGATCTAAAAAGAAATGCAGATGAAGGAGATAAAAGAAGGTGGTGGAAGGGGTTGCATCACAGCTGTGACCGGATCATCTAAGTAAACAACATTGCGTCTTCTTTCGCACATTTTCATTAACATTTTGAAACAAATTATTTATTTAAAAAAAACTTTCGAAATACATTTAATGTTTTATGGACCTCCTGCGGAAGATAAGTAAAACATGGTTGTTTGATTTTGGGGGGTATAACGGGTATTGGAACTATTCTTATTGTCAGTGGCATTATTACACAGTTCTACTTTTATACTACATTTTTTTCCTTTTCTTGGCCTCTCTTTGTCTTCCATTATGATTATTCCTGGCTCTCTCGCTGACAGTCCCTACACCGACCTTACATTGATTCAATACCACTTAACTCGTTTGTACTTCCAAAAATTTTGAACCGTGGTGCTTTCTGGTTAAGTAATCAACGAGTCTGAACTTTTCTTCATGAAATATGCAGGTTAATGATGATGCTGCCACTTCAAACCATAAATTAGTTATTTGCTATCACTCCTCTGCCGTAAGAGAATGATGGGCCTTACTAGCCATCATGGTAACACCTTTTCAAACGCTGGTAGACGACAAATCCATCAACTATACCCCACTAATGAAAACTCGTATAGCAAAGCGCAAAGTCTGGTCCTCTTGAAGCGGAATAAAGCCACAAGATGAATATTTTAGACCTCAAACGCCAAGCAGAAGCCACCTTAAATCAGCAGTTTGCTATAAACTGACACTAGCCACGCTTATCATGCAGACATTGCCTCTTGTCAGAGGTCGCTTGAAAGTGTTATTGCGAGGGGAGAACATTAGGACATTACTCTCTTGTATCCGCGGATGTCATTTAATAAGCAAAGCAAGGTCACTCAAAAGCTGCATGTCATTCTCAATGCATACGCATGCTTATTTGTTAATATGAAAATTTATAAAGACAAAAAAATAGGTGCATTAACGTCTGAAAGGGACTGTATGAAAAGGAAGGAAGAGAAAGCGTGAAGTACGTACATAAATAGATGTGTGAAAGGATGTCTTTTCTGAATAGAAACGTGAGTACTTTCTATGTGCGATTAATGTCCTGTTTTTGGCGCCGCAGATCTATCAAGGCCCGTGCATGCATTACGGAGGTGGCGCCGAATAGGTGAGAAATCGACTGCATTTAAGCCGTGTTTTCGAATGATTTCATCGCCGTTCACATTTCCACAATCCTGCACTCATTGATATGGAGAGACAAAAACAGAAATCCTCGTGGAAAATACAATCTGCAAGAGGCTCCATCGAATTATCTTCCTCTCTCTCTCTTTCTCTCTCTCCCTCTCTCTCTCTCTCTCCCAGGGAGGGAGCAAGAGAAAAAGAGAGTGATTAATAAATAAATAGATCTATTAATCACTCTCCTTTTCCCCTGCTCCATCCCTCTCCTTCTCTCTCTCTCTCTCTCTCTCTTTCACTCATCTCTTCCCCCTTTTTATCTTTCCTCTCTTTCTCTTTCCTTTTCCCTGTCCCTCGCTCCCTATCCATCACTCCCCTTCTCTGTTAATATACTGTATATATTATTTGTGTCCCTCTTCATCCCCATTCTTTCCTCTTGCGCCTCTGTCTCTTTCTTTCTCCCTCGCCTTCCTAACCTATCCACCACTCTCCCTTTCTCTACACCCTCTTTTCTCCCCCCCTCTCTCTCTCTCTCATGTATCCACAGGAAAATTTATCAAGAGAAAACAAAAAGACGCCCCCCCCCCCCACAAAAGGAACACACAAAAAAAGGAAAAAAAGAAGAGGGAAAGTATATGGATTGGGGGAAAAAAAGGTATAACTATTTTAAATTCACTGTTAACAAGTCAATTATTTAAACCCTTACCAAGTTTTGAATTTGTTTAACTAAGCGAACACTTGATTTGTCCTGCTAAATTTTTCTTGAGAATGTGACATATTAAATCTTTCATCTAAATTATTCAACCAGTCCTCCTTTCATCCTTGAGTTATGAATTCACTTGGTTTGTATGTATTAGCCTAATTTAGCCAAGAGTTAGCCAAAAGACGATTGTGTTTGTGATCAGATCTTTCTCCTATATTTACATAACCTAACAAGATCTTCTCCGAGATATTGCAAAATAGATAGAAGTGATAGAAGTGAAAGAACAGAGCGACTGGCAATCAAAAACTCTCCTCAAATATTAGTTTGTCCAACTTCATGATGAATATTTGTGCAATGTGTCTATGGAGTGTTTCTAGGTAATCAACATGAGGCCGTAAAGCAATGATCATGTTGTCGCTAAGAGACTCTGTCTCTGACTCTATTACCTATAGAATAATGACAATGAAACAACACGCTCTCCAAACCAACGCACATAACCACAAGACAAGAAGCGGAGAAAATCATCCAAATCATTTGAGAAGACGAATATGACTAAATACATGGGAATGACTATAATCAAATCGAACTAATTCGACGGAGTGAATTCAACATTTTGTGATAGGAATTGAATATCGATCAAGTGGTTGGTTCATCAATCAATCTCAGTTCTCCAATTTCACCAGTGTATGCGTTGTGCTCAACTGAATGTGCGTCTATTCACTTGGGAGTCGGGCGAAATATTGTCAGTCTGGAGAAATAATGTCCTCTTATAAGATTAAAGGATTCGATGTATGCAAAGAATGGACGCCATATTACAATATAAATGTACAGAAATTCATCTTTTGTTTTGATTTGAAGACGGTAATATTAATATCACTTTTGGGACTGAATCAAAGTAGGTTTTTAAAGTCCACGAAATAATTATGACGAGGAGGCCCGCGAGGAGGGCTGCGAGATATTCCGTAGACCTTTGAATCAAAGCCGGACGGTATTTTCTCTTACATCATCGTATTGCATTGTGGACTTCCATTTTCACGGCGGACGCTGAAATGCATGTGTACCCAATGTGACCAAAACCCTGAAATGACGTCTTTTTTGCTAGACCAGGGGTATATAGGGTTACGTCTTAGCGACGATGGAAAAGGAAGATCTTATTGAGCTGAACATCATGAAGAAATGCGGGCAAAGTAGGCTTACGAGAAGAAGACAAGCAAACAAGACTTGGTGATCGCTGGGCAAGACTGGCAGCTGGATGGAGAGACTCAGACACCTCCGTGAAACCTGACAACGGCTCTCCTGGTCTCCCGTCTACTTGGAAAGTAAAGGGCAAAACGTCCCCACGGCACAACGGCAAGCAGATCGCATCGAATATTAATGTATACAATTTTGTATGACAATTTGGAGGTAAAAAGTAATGTACGGTGCTCCCCGTTTTTGAATTTGTATCCACCTTTTGGCTTTTACAACACCTAACGACTGTGTAGAGTTCCATTGTGGAGAAAAATATCACAAGCTTCTTCAATAATTATTATCCGCAAGTGAAACACTGAGAATGTTCTCGTGATTACTCTTCTGGTTTTGTGCACTAATTATTTTCATACTGTTAGTGATACTAGCAAGCAGACTCTGAATGACTGACGTTGTATGTGTCTGGTAGTATATTATTGATGTCTATTGGAAGTACAGGTTAAGTTTATTCAAATCAAACTCACGAAGGAATATTTCCTCAGTGACAGGAATCAAAAGCCAACAAAAATACGATACACAAAACCGAGACAGTAAAGATACATTGTGTACTTTATAGTACATTTAGACCGTCTTCTCCTTTGGAGCATTTCATTAATAGCACAGTAACATGCACATAATTATGTTGATATGGTTATCACGATCCTACCATTCGTGCTCCGGAGACGTCTGATCAACGTTCAATTTCTTACACCAACCATGGACCCACCATTTCCCTCAACTTTTAACCTTTAACTTCAACATACTGTCCGAATACCCAACTGAAACCTAAACCTATAATTATCATTGATGAAATAAGAAGGTGAATATCAACGGAGTCGGATCGCCGTTACAATTTGTTTACATTTCTAATGAATCTCTTATTTTCAATCGAGATAGACTTACTTGGAGACATGTTGTCGAAGTTGAAGTTTCCACAGAGGACGTCAAAGGCCACTACTTCCTGTAGTCCTTCAAGACGATGACTGTACACATGGAAGTTGTTAAGCCACTTCAAAATGGCGTCCATCTGTGCCGAGCGCAAATCGTCTTCTGTCAAAAATTGAAGCAGAACAGAAATTTGTTTACAAATTAGTTTGCCTTGCACATCTATTTAATATAAAGTCTGCAAAACAAAATCTTTATGATGAGTCACAAACATAAACGTTTGTTTCTGAGCTTCAAGATGTGAAAGCCTTTTTTTAGAGCCTTATTTGTGTGGGATTACACAAAAGAATCATCAGCTTAAAAAAATGTACAAGTGGCCAGTGAAAGAAAAAAGAAATCGGTGGAAGAAACTCTATTTGATTACTTAAACTATTTCTGCATTCGGTCAGTCCTTTTCTTCGGTTATATTAGTATGGCCTTACATACTGGAGTAGAATAGAATGTTTTAACATATTATACACAAATTAGGATGTTGAGCTTGATGCGAATAAACCATCAAAAGTAGGGCTTAACCTTGGGACAGTAAGAGGCGTAATTTGAGGTGCCTTATGGGTCGAAGATCTGGAAGGTGTTTGTTATAAGTGCCCCCTAAATCCGCCATAGGTAATCGTGTTTTTAATATTCATTTAATTGTTCGGGTAGTAAGGACGTTTAAAAGCAATTGAAGACGGTACCAATATTGCTTTAATATCAATGAATTCTTGCATTACTTTTCAATACATCCAGCGTTTTTTATTTGTAAATTAATCGATCACATATTTTGCTTCAAAGCCACATCTAAAATATAATCTAAAATGCAAAAAGTATAGTTATAGCTGTATTTCCCAAGAAGACAAACCATATGCACTACAGCATCGTCAGGTAATTATAACAAAGTGATGCCCTTTCTCACAGCAACGTTGTTTGTTTCCTTTTCGGAGAATCGGTTATCCGTGCTAGGGAAAAAATGGATTCCCTTCGGTAGCCTAATACGAAGGATTACATTCCATACTTCATCTTACAGTATTCATGAATACAACACGCAAGATTTAAAGCAGATGATCTTCATAACCAGCCCAGGTACTTTCTGAATATTTGTCTGAGCCCTATGGTAAGCAATTCTTGTAATAGGAGCTCCATAGCCTCTCAGTTTAACACTCGAAAGCAATCACCTAAACGCAAGTACCCAACTGCAGTCGACATGAGTTAGTTCCTTCTCATCTAAAAAGAGAAGCTACGGTATCTCTTGAAAACTATACGAGGCAAGAAACTAAAGGCATATAGTGTATCTATGAATACGATTATTGAAGATGGCGGTGCTTATGCCTAAGCCTCCCACACCCCTTAACCTCCTCTGCTCTTGTATATGGTGTAAATATGATTTACAAAGTTCATCTTTTCTGTCTCGTTATGGCATGGCTTGCTTTTTGGTTTTGACGGGGTAAAAGGGTACAAAAATAACTATCCGTGGTTTATCTTTGCAAGCAGAATACACCCACCCCTCCTACTCAGTGCTCGGAGTGGCGGAATGCTCGGTGACCCCGATGAGATTGGGGTGGAGCTTGTATTCTGGGTCAAAAGAGTAGATGGCAAGACACCTGATAAATGTTTAATGACCTGAAAAGGGCAATCCTCAAGGGTTTCTAAGAGGAGAAGCTGGGTCAGACTGTTCGATGGGTGCTAGTTATACTTTATGAATGAAAATCATCATAGTACTACATCAAAGTTTTTTTTGTAGTCTCGTATAGTTAATCGAAAAGACTTTTTTTCCTGAGATGGCCAAATATTACATTCGTATCGTGAGTGAACTTGTCACCATACTTGGTCATTCTCATTTATCTCTCTTTTCAGACATGGTTAACACCATTTTACGGTCATCCATTATGCGGGATCGCTGTGGAATATTGGAGAAGGCTTTTGACTCTCATACGAGAGGTTCTGGGTTCCATCGGTGCTTACAACAACGGGCAATGTGTTTTGCTCACATTATTTTGTCCCTCATCTCTTCCCAGGTGTAAATGAGTACATCTCAATGCTAGAGTAATAACAATCACCGGGCCAGTGGGAAGAGCAGAATTAAAACCGTTTTTGTTTACCCGGGGTAAAAACAAACCAATGGTTATTCATTTATCCGTTTTTTGTTAATGGCAGTTCAAGTTGTTTATGAGTCAGTCAAGACGTACCAATACTTGCCAAGTGACAAATTGATCGTAGGGATGTGGAAATCCACAAGTTTTAGTAGTAATATTACTTTTTTGGAGTTGAATCTACTCCCGATCATAGTGGAATCCACTCCAAAGCAGTGGCTGAATTACTCTTTGAGAGTAAATTCCACGACTTTGAGCATGGATTCCACTCTAAACCAAGTGAAGGGGGATATCCACTCCCCTATCATTCACGCATTTGATGCTCATATCTATGGAAATGGTTGATTGAGAGTAAATTATATAGCTTACGTAAGACCGGGGGCTTCAAATTACAACTTAATGTTCTTAAACCCTCTAAGTAAACTCCTCCCATTGTAATAGCACATATTATGGGCCTACAAGGAGTTCTAAAATCACTTCACGCTTCTCTTTTTAATCCAGTATTAGTTAAGTGACTGACCAAAAATAAGGAGTCCATATTCCATTCTTGCATTATTATAACATCTGTATGCGCTTCCAAATGACTCTGGATATTTCTGCCCCTGCAGCCTCAGCAAACGTAGAGTTCAATGCATTCATTGAATAAAAGGAATAAATCCTACGAGGTACCTACTTACCACACCAGGGGAGTGTTTCACAAAGACTAAGATCGACTTTACGTTGGACTTAACTATGACAGGCCTTTCATGCCACTAGTTCCTCCAACCATTCCTGGCATTGGTTTCTCAATTAAGGGACATACAAATCATAGTCATAAATTTACATAATTTACCTGAATCTATAGTTCATGATTGAAGGAAAAAATAATATCAAAAGATCATAAATAATGGTGAGAGTAACCAGTGGCATGAATGGCCTGCCATATTTAAGTCCAACTTAAAGTCAATATTAATCTTTGTGAAACACCCCCTTGGTTGGAACGTAGCAAAGGAATACCGATGCCATATCATTCCTCAACCATTTTGTTTTCTTCTCAGCAATGCGCTTTGTGGATTTTCCGATTGAAGTGTACCTTTTCAGATTGCCTTACTATCTGTAGTAGATGTGAAGCTATCATAATTTTAATTTAATTACTTTTTGAAATGTAATGTTTTCCTATGATATCATACCAATTAGATATTATCAATGTTGTTCTGAATGTAGCATCAGAGACCTTGTATTGGTTGAGTTACGGGTGGGACACAAGGGCCAAGGGAACCGATGTTTCTAGATAAATAACATGCTAGAAAATAGTGCCCTCGTTTGCCTAGTTTTGGAGTGTGGGGGTAGCCGTATCATCTTATCGTCATGTTGCTTACATCACACCCTCCCCCTCTCTCTCTGTCTCTCTGTCTCTCTTTCTCTCTTTCTCTCTTTCTTTTTATGTTTTCTTTCTATCTTTCTTCCTATCTTTCTTTTTATCTTTCTTTCTATCTTTCTTTCAGCCTCTATTTTCATGGTTCCATCTCCTTTTCTTTCTTTCCATCATTCTTTTTTTCTTCCAGTATATTATCAAAAGAGAATAGAGGTTAAGGGTGGAGCGGTGAGACAACGATTGATTGCGTTGAGATCGATCAACACGTCGTTAATGATATTCTTCTGTGTACTCCTAGTTATACATCATAATTATGTCCATGTTTAGAAAACACATTACAAGAGGCCAAACAACGCATGGAGTATAAAGGCGCCATAACTGAATAGGCCTAAGTAATTAACTTAAATCAAGTGACTACATAATGTGCTAGCGACTGAGTGAGGGGTAAGATGTTTTTTAATAAGTACTAGAACTCATCAAAACAGAGAGGGAAAAACGACCATGAACTTTTGAATGCACTATCCAGTACCTTTTTTCTGGGGGCTTCCTGCCGACCAGTTTCCTAGGCAACGGCCGGGAGGAAACCCAATCCTGCGACATTAGGTATAAAAAGCGGCTACTCTCAATTTTCTTTCGCCGTAAAGCGTAACGTGTCACCCCTCTGGTCGGACTAACAGCGGAAGCGATCGCATTTCTCGCGGGCCAGCCAATATAAGAGTGAACCCCTAGAGAATACACGTACAAGAGGCGACCAGGACACTTTGAGGGAGATGAAAACAGACCGCGCGAAATGGCGCAATAAAAGACCTAAATCTATCTGCGGTGAAAAGCGCCCGCCAATCTTCATTCCCGTACCCACCATCTTCGAGCTTGAATATCACTTTCACTTTGTAATCAACGTTTTGAACCCTTCAGCTAAAGAAAAGAAGTAAACGACCTCCTTTTATTTATTACCAGTGATTCGTGCTGCTGAATGGGAGCCGGGTTTATGGGGCGCCAATGTTTGACTTGGCCTGGCTCTTTGATATCATCACCCACACTCGACCTACATAGATACGGATAGGTGGGACAGTTATTTCAGAGTTTGCTTGTTGTGTGCATACACAACCATGTGTGAATCTCAGCTTGCCTATAGGTGTGAGCTACCCTCATGAGATTTGCAGCATCTACTGGTGGTGTATTGGAGCTGTTTGATTTGCTTCTCGTATCTCTGGTGGGATTGACAGCTACGTAGGGGCCACCTGCCCTTCGCTCTGATTGCGATTGTTCTGAGACGCATGAACTTTGATTAAACCAATCTATAGTATTACAAATACCCCAACACTCATCTACATGGTACACCATTTTAATCTTATCAACCAGAGAAGGGCCTGCCGAGTCGCTAAACAAGAACGATTGATTGCCAATTTTGTCTCCCCTGTCTGAACGATAACCTTTAGTTTCTATTCCCACTCGTGTATGCTTATACAGCATGAAATGCAATTAAATGGATAGAGAAATAACATGTCTGAATTTACCAAATTCATTTATCTTATTATAGTATCTGAAAAAGGACCATGATGATCATTTCCCCTTTTAAATCAACACAGTATAATTGTATAAACACTACATATTATTGGGTAAGTTGTTTACCCATGCTTAGGTCGTAGGACACCAAATAAATAATCATGCATAACTAAACTTCAAATAACAAACAGAAAAGAATTGTTAAGCTTCTGGTGATATAAGAAATATACTGATAGTCTCTGGTTAACAGTGGTGTGGGTACTGAGGGGGTGGCACTCGTTACGAAGGGGTTGGGGTCTTCCTAGTTTGATAAAATGTAAGGATTTAAACAATCGAGGAGACTATGGGACGGATCCGTTTCATTTTCCTACTCTCACTCTTAATTTCTCTCTTTCTTCTTTATTGAGGTTTTTTTAAATTTAGTTGTTATTGTTTTTGTTTAGGGTGTAAGGGGAGCATGGGGCATTGTATCACATGCCACTTCCATAGAAACGCCAATGTTCAATCATACAATATTACACAGTGAGATATATTTTTTTTAAAAGTTGGATTTTCTTACTCTGAGCAGCTTGTAACTGTGTAATGGCCACGTAGCCGACAACAGGATGACCATCATCACTACGACCTAGATGAACCTGGAAAAAGAAATAAAGAATAATTTATGTACATTAATCAAGTCGAAGCACGTGTATCATTTTTTTTCGTATATAGGGTAAACATGAATTTAAACATGATTTATAGAGAATAAATTACATTCGTTTGGTTGAATCAATACGACACAACCATTCAAGGCATTACGTACTATGTGATCTGAACATTGATAGTAAACAAACGGAAACAACACAACGAAATATTATATACCGGCAAAGATGAAGAAGGAGGAAGAGGTAATATAGGTCAAAACAAATGGTAAATAGATCATTTACCGGTTCGTTTTATACCTGTAACATGAGGGTACGGGTATCTGAGCATGAAAGCTTTTATGTCATTAAGTACAGAAGTCACTACGTAACATTGATTAGTCCGAGCGAGGTACGGTGAAGGTAAAGAGAGTTAACCTCTTTTTTCCCAAACCCACTTGGCGACATTCAATCCCATATTGTGTAGGTGGTTGTACAGCCTGAGATACTTCTTTAATCAAATAATGGTGTAGACATACACATACAAAAATTAGCTACTGGACGACTTCTGGACCTGTGACTTCTAGACCTGTAGTTTAGAAAATGCATTCAGTGGACGAAAATAAAGTGCCAAGTAGTAACAGTTAACAATCTAAACATCTTTACGTATAAATTATGTGACTTTAGCAATTTCTTTGTATTTACAGAAATATCTTTTCTACTATAAGATTTTTTAAAGGGAGTCAGACATGTCGTTGATCCGTATGTAGAATTATGAGAACATAAAGACTGAACTGAGGAAAATGCCTTAAACTTGGCGCTCCAGATATATGTAGTTAAAATCAATGATTAATACATACATATATATATATATATATATATATGTTTAAAGACAATAAAAAAGAGATTGTACAGATATAATGTGCACTCATCTAAATGTAATTTTTTCCTGTCAGGCATGAACCGACATTACACGGACGAAGTAGTATACATTAAATCCGTCTGAAATATTGAAATCACAATACAGTAACGCAGTACACGTTGAACACATTACCCTTTCCCCATACAACAGAATACTACCAGAGGGAGAACCGCAGATGGTGGGGGGAAAAAAGAAGAAAAGGAGACGAATCTAAAATTAGGATTCGCGTGGGACCCTATGAAATATGACTACAAATGACGTCATTACTGGGTGCTCAATAACAGATGGAATTGTTGCTTACTATGTGCTTCAATAGCAGATGAATAGTGGCCTAGACTATGTGCTATTTGACCTAGATTTAGGTTTCAGACAGGATGTTTCAATTGAGAATGAGAAAAGTTTTGTATCCCGAAATAAATTACATCTTACAAGCAAGTATTAAAAGCGATCTGTGTTTGATGACCCACCACACATAGGTTTAGCCACTTGCTGATTTAGGGGCGTAACCGTCTGTGCTCCACCCCCTAAAAGGACACAACCACCCCTTCCAAATATTTAAGCAAAGGCATCTAATAATATAAAAATCGTTTTGTTAATTTTTCTGCTTTTCAATGATTTATGGAGCAAAATAAGCACCAAATTATGATTCCAACTTTTTTGTCCTGTTCGAAATGTTAAAAATTGGTTTATCTGTATCCGTCCCTGAATTCAGCTAAACTCTACATGGGTGACAGATGAAACAGGTTTTGTATTGGTACAAGAAATAATAAATGCCATATCACAGCATATATACACCATGTCAAAACCGCACTTTTAAAACTATGAACATATCATCAAAGTATTTCCTGTTAAAATGAAGAATTTCGTACCTGTTGAATGTAACCACTCAGAACTAAATAAAACTATTTTGTCTATTTAAAAAATGTCTCATTCTTTCTATTTGAAACAATTTAACACCACAACGGTAAACTCTATCATGAAATAGCTATTAATAAAATGAATTTATCTGATGTATCACAGTGCTATGGCATGTCAGGTGAAGGCTAATATTGAGCTTTCAAGAAAACCCTCCAATATTTTCACGTCAATCAAGGGCCAGACTATTATTCGTCCAGGTCTGAAACATCGATTTATTTCAAGTTTTATACAAAGAACAACTAGGATATGTTAGGAATGAAACAAAAAACAGGAAAAGGCGCCATTGCTGTTTCCCTAAGAAAGCCATCCATCTCTACAACTTGTAGTAGCTGAAGTAGCTTGGTCACGTCTGCATGCTTGAAAGGCGTTTAGAGCTGGTTAATTGTGAGTATTCGGTCGTTGAGATTGGCTCTATCCGACCGAATAAAACAATTACATCGCAGAAATTAATCGAATCAGGAATTCTTCTAAAGCAGCCATGTTTTTCCCGGTTGCATGAATCCCAAGAGCAATGACCAGACCAGGCCACCTACCTAGCCTTGTTTCAAGAAGTTCGTAGATATATGATTGGACGTACACTATTATGATTATGGAATTGAAAGGCGTTGAACAAAGCTCACAGTTCATATATAAATTGGCAAGATCAAATAAGTAACGTAAAATATAATGTAATTAATGTTACCAATAAAGATATCTTTAACAATTAAATAGACTCATCTCGCTCATGCGCCGAATGATGAGCTACAGTTGTAATATAAAAGTTCATGGTATTATTTATTTGCGCGTGTTTGATCATTTGAGGTAGAAAACACCCCCAAAATGTCACTTTATGCATGTAGCAGCAAGAGAGAAGAAGAAAAATGGAAAACAATTCATCTCCTTTATCCCCGGGCTAGGCTAGAAGAATCTATTAAATGCTAATTGATTCCACGGTTTTTGTATTATGAATGCCAAGGTGCCCACATGAGATTTAAAACGGAATATTGAAGATGGATGTAGTGTGCTTGACATTCTCAGAACTAGCTTACATAGTCACCCTCCCATATCTGTATCGAACTGACAGTCCTCACAAGCAAAACCGAGAACATAATTGAACAATTTCTGCGCCCATTCATATTCTGGACGACTGCACCTGGTTAGATCTTTTGTTAATCATCGTATGAAATTTACGCTCACTAAATCCCTTTTTTTTAATGGTACCAGGAAGCTGTAATGAATGGAGATCCCGTCCAAGAGGCCCCTTTGAAGTCATCCGTGGCACCGCGCGTCTTTTGTTTCCCCTACCGTAATCCCCTTAATCCCCCTCCGAAATCGTACAGCTCCCTAGTAGCACTAAGTCCTCCCTTTCCACGCACAGCCCAGCCCAGCGAGCACGGCGGCTTTTGCTTTGCCGGCCCGTACTTTGGGTGAATAGTGGTGCTAACTTGACAACTTCTAGCCCTAAATCAATAAATGCGCAAACATATAACACAATTTCATTTAGTTCTTTAGGAAGATAAACCTTTGCACTACCTTCCTAGCTATGTACAAATTTCGGAAATTTTCCGGAAAATGTCAATAATTAGATGAGAAAAGCATGATGATGAAAATCTTTCATTCGTTCTAACTCATGATTTCCTTGGTCGATTTCGCTGGTTAAAATGGCCATGTCTTCAGTAGAGCTATCCGAGAACGGAAAACGCATTTGATGACTACTAGAAAGTTGCATTGGTCATATGTTGTGAATTCTGCATTTTATATGTTATAGCTAAATACATCTTCCCTGAACATGACTTAATTTGTCGGTGCCACGCATGGCTTCAAAGCCCGATGCTTGCATATTTTTGCAAAAGAGTGAATAGAGAACTTAGGGAAGCAGATGGCGTTGCGTAACATTTCGTACTGTTTGGAATGCCAGAGAGGGACTGTGCATTGATATGGACAGCTGTTGATGGAAATGATGGCTGGAGAGGGTTACATTTCTTTTTGTTAAGCCAGGTTAATCTTGAATAATTTTCCCTCGGTAAATTCTTTCGAGACGGTATCTCCATTCATTACAGCTTCCTGATGGTACACAAAATAATGTGAGATGGATATTAATCTAAGTTGATTCAGGGATTCAGGAAAACTCTCCATTACTTGACCAATCAAACGAATTGTACAGAACGCACTGGCACATAAAGTCTAGGTAAAAGTTGTTATAAAAATGATGCAAGTAATCGACAGTGGATGAGAAAGAGAGAGATGGAGAGAGAGAGGATGATACACAAACAGATAATGAGAGAGGAAGAAAGAAAAAGTGCTACAGAAGACGCACATAATGCCTACACACAAACTGATGTTAGCAAATGCTCTAAATATTTCTGAAGAATCAACGTGAATCAAAATCTTAAAATGAAGACAAAGGACAGATTAAGAGAGGGAGAGAGAGAGAGAAAATGAGAGAGAGAGAGGGGGAGAGGGAGAGAGAGAATGAAAGAGAGAGAGAGAGAGAGAGAGAGATGTGTAGGTGTAGGTGCGTAAAAGAGTGTGCGTCGGTGGGTCCACGTGTTTCTGCGTGCTAGAACAAGATGAAAGTGGCAATAGAGACGCAAAGTGTATTTGTGTATACGCTGAGAGGGAGAGAAAGTGGGGAGACAGTGAGAACAAAAAATAGATGAAAGAAAGAAAAAAGAGAGAGAGAGACACACACACACATCCAAAGAGAGGTGGGCAATTATTTTTGTTACAGAAGGCTGCAACGGAAATTAATGGCAGCATAGATATGTTCCATCAATTCACCTCGCTGTATTTCAATTTGAAAATTTCATTCATAATATATAGACCCATGGAAATGCTATTTGAACTGGTTGATTGGAATTTCGTCTGCAGGAAGACATCCTTTAATCAAATAAAAAGACACAATGAACCCAGCATTCCATATTACCCTTTAGATTGAATTTCAAGTAGGAAATGTACAGGGTCTTATTTAAATAAAGGAAAATACAACCAATGAAATAACGTCGTTGGTGAAATCTTGGGCACTTCTCCTGCTATGATAATTGTCTTGCAATAAGTAATAAAAGCTTGAGAAAAATGGAAAAAGTACTTTAAATGAAACTAATACAATAAAATAAATAAGACTTGTTTAGGGCACACGCCCCCGTATCCCCCCCCCTATTTTCTTCTTCTTCATTTTATCTCAGAGTATATTAAAGGTAATACAAAGTTTCGGGAAATTTCGAAA